TGGATTACATTTAGATTTGCATATGACATAGGACGTCCTAAACTTTTTAATATTGCTATTCTATGGGTAAAATGTAAAACCTTTACAACTTACTTCCACGTTATTAGAATTATCGCCAACACTATCTTCACCTACTCCAGCAATTTCCTCTGTGCACGTTGGTTCGTCGCTAAACAAGTGTGCATTTTGCTTGTCGCACAGAAACTCTGTTTCGACGGTACGCAACTTTTGAAGATCATCTATAATAAATATTTTTTGTTCGACAATTAGTGATGATATAACAAGAACTGAAAGCTATAAATTACAGTTTTAACTTACCCTCTACAGCAATTATTTCTGCCTCTAAGTCTTGCTTTTCATATGTCACTAAAACCCGGCTTCCTGGTTTTGTATTTGCCCCGTTCAAAACTTTACTTATTTTTCCAAGTTTGAGGATGCAAATGGTTTTGTCGCAACTGAAGTAAAACAAACCGTATTTGAAGACCTTCAGCTGGTTACGAATAGAACTGGTAGTTGAAGACATATCGGTAAAAACGAATTTGACTGAAACACTAATAGTTAAAATGCCAGAATGATACCATGGAATCAATGCTGGAGAATATATACACGAATAAGAATTAATAAATTCAATGGTCGGCAATATTGCTTACATGTCRCAAAAGATCAAAGGAAGGCCACCYGCGAGACGCAATCTTTTGATCATCTTGACGGTATATGCACTAGTTTTTATTCTCCATTCAGATATACTCTTTGAAAAMCCGCATACAACAACAATCAGACTTCACGTAGATTTTGAAAATGGCCTCAGGTTCACGACGCCTTTTGGATGCAGTATTTGACGTTCGTTTGGACTATGTAGAAGATATCTCTGAACTTGAAAATGCACTTGTGAATGCATTTACCAATGCAAACGTTGGGCCTGAGGTACCGTCGACTCACATCCAAGAACTGTTTGCAATGTTAAAAAACTACCTCGCCTTCAAAGACAAAATAGAAAGAGCTCTGAAAGCTTTGGATGGATTGGAGGAGAGACTACTGTAGGAAATAGACAAAAACAGAACTTTGAAAACCGGCTTTTATGAAAGCCAACAATTAATAAAATTGTCATGACCAGAGTGCTTTTAGATTTACATGTACCATTCAAATGACAAGCAATCAATTAGTACCCTTGACCTCGAATTTTATCGCCTAATCACGATAAGGGTCTTTTACGTAAAAAATGTATAATACGTTTCAGAAAGAAAAAAAGGCTAACGAAACTATTCATGAAAAATTTCGAGGCCGCGACACAATAATGTGTGTTAGCTACGTGTTTCAGCGGGTGTTATCATTTACAGTACTCGCTTTATACAACATTCATAACCGACTTGAAAACTAAAACGACCATCATTGTAATTATTTTTTAATAAAGAGAGCTACAATAGCAAAGAATATTCCTTACATTGTATAGAGTTAAATCATGGGTTTCGCGCAATTCTAGGCGTTTATTTACATGTAACAAACCGATTTATAAATGTCATACACTGTATTATACGAGCGAATCAAAAATAAATGCTCTCTTTTGCTTGATTTTCTTTGATTTCGATTCCTAAATGAAGATGYCTATTGCTCAAAAAGTCTAAAATGCAATTTTTCTGACGGTATAGCTTCAAAAAATTAAAGATTCGGAGCCCTAAATAATTCGAGCCTTAAGGGTGAGATTAGGGGCCGTAAAACTTCGTTTTATTCGCTCAAATTCACAAGTTTATCAAAGTTTAAGAACCCTACACGTTATTATTTTAAGTCAGAATAGAAATTCGTTGCGTTTAACGACCCCTAATCGATGAGTAAAAATTGCGAATTTAGTAAGCGGCATTGTAAAGTTGTCTGTCGTGAGTACTCGACGGAGGTGCAAATGTGTGAGGCAAACTGCGCGGAGCGCTATTTCTCTTTCATAATATTGTTCGATCAGTGATCTGTTGCTACATACATGTACATACATGTATTGTAACTGTTGTCACCGCGTTGAGCGCGTCCCGACCGCGTTCTTTTTGCGTCCAAAACGCGTTCATTCGCGTCCAGGCCGCGTACATTCGCGTGCAGGCCGCGTTCATTAAACGCGTTCAAATCGCGAAACAGACGCGTCTCAATGCTTCAATGATTTCAGGCGGTACTGTA